AGGCGAGAGTTGGGGCTCTTATAGGCTCTTGAATCTGGAGCGCGGCTATAATGAGCGCCAAACCTCACGAGCCTATCTCGATGTGACCAAAAAGGGTGATCTCAATAGTATACAGTGGTATAACTTGGCTACCGGTGCTGTTGGCCAGTCGGCGGCGAATACTAGCAAACCTGTTGCTACCGGAGCTAATGGCACAGTAAATGTGCAAATATATTACTCAGGTGTTGATCATAAGGATTTGGCGCTGGCATCAGGTATAATTCATCGAATGACTAGATGATTTAAATTTATATTAATTTAATTTGTCATTATTATTTTAAAGGTCAATTAGGCTCTGAGTACGTGAACAAAGTGTTTGGCTTTGATTATGGTGGTCGCCGGGTGGATACCGGCGCTCGTGTTATGGGCATTAGTGGCGGCAAATCCATAGCTACGAGTATTGAGGCCAACGATCGAGTGTTGATTCCGGTGCCCGACAACTGGTCCATAGAGGACGGCGTGTCCGCAATCAGCGCCTACTTTGCCGTTTGGTATAGCCTTATAAACAGGGCTCAGATTGAAGGCGGTATGTAAACTGTAAATGATAATCGTAACATACATTTTTGGTATATAAACAGTGTAACTTTATTTATAATTGGTTTGTTAGCAGCAACGGTATATTTTTATGACAAATAATTCATGTCTGATGAGTACCAACATTTAGTAGTAGTACCAACATTGAGTAGCAACACCAATAATCAAGTTATTAAATATTTTCAGATAATTATTCTTAAACTGTAAGAAAATAATCTTTTATTTTCAAAATGATATATGAAAGTTGTATATGATAATTTTTGGGGCAACCGATAAGTGTCTCATTACATTCTGCATCAGTGGTGTACATGGGCACTTACAAGCATTTTACTCAACAATTATTTACTAATCTGATATAAAATGGTTATTACATATTTACTAATTACTAATTATGCTTGAAACCCAATTGTACTAAATATAATATTATTTCAACAAGATTATTATTTAGGCATAAACACATAAATAATTTTTCTAAACTAAATTACTAATTACATTTAAATAATTGACCTAGGCGAGACAATTCTGATTCACTCGGGAACCGACTCGACTGGTTTGGCGGCTATACAAGTGGCCAAAGGACTTTCGTGTCGAGTGCTGACCACTGCCTCCACATCTGAGAAACGCCAATTCCTGACCGACACGTATGGCATTCCCCTCGACTGTATCTACGATCCGAACGACCCGTCCATTAGTGACCAAATCCTGGCCGCGACAGATGGCACGGGTGTTGACGCTGTGCTTAACGCCCTGTCCGGCGAGAAGCTGACTTTGGCCGCCGAAGTGTTGGGCCAATACGGTCGTTGGGTCGATCTGGATAATTATGACAATAGTAATCAAGCACGTTTGTCCAGTGCTGGCACCAAAAACACCTTGTATTACAATATATCGACAATTATTAGTGACGAGACGTTTGATATATTTTTACCTAAACTCATTCAATCGTTTACGAAGTGGTTCACCGATGGCTTACAGAATGGTAATTAAATGTTAATTTAACAATATGCTTTAATTAAATACAATATACAATATTAGCTTTAAATAATTAATAAAAATTAAATAGAATTTAAACGTTGGCCGCTATAATTAAAAGCGATTTATTTTTAATCAGGGTCTATTAAGCCATTACCACGTGTGGTATACGGCTATGATGTGGTCGAGCGGGCGTTCAAACAGTTGAGCTCCGGTCAGACAATAGGCAAAGTGTTGGTCAAAGTGCGAGAGGAGGAGCCGTTTAATAAGATTACGACTGATATAAAAGCCGTTGATATTGTGGCCAACACTAGGAGTTGGTTCGACGCCAACAAAGTGTATGTATTGGTTGGAGGGTTGGGTGGTTTGGGCTTAGAGGTGGCCTATTGGCTGGTGGCCAGGGGTGCCCGCAAACTGGTGTGCGTTTCACGCAGTGGTTAGTATTAAATATTCAATAATAATTTATTAAGCATAAGTAAAATTAAATATTTTAATACCATGTTTTAATCCAAAAGGCATTAAAAACGACTACCAATACGTGTTTGTGAAACGGGTGGAGACGGAAGCAACGGGTGGTGTTGGTGAGCCGGCACAGGTCAAAATCTCCACGTCTGACCCGTCATCCATAGCGGGGGCAGAGAAACTGATAGCTGAGGCCCAGTCTATGGGACCGTTGGGCGGTATTTTTCATTTCGCCACAGTATTGGCCGACGCCTTCATCGGCGACCAAACGGCCGCCACTTTCCGCAAAGTTTGCGCCCCGAAAGTGGACGCACTCGGCTATCTGGACGCCGTGTGCCGTAAGTTTTGCCCCGACATGGACTACTTCGTGGCGTTCAGCTCCCAGAGCTCGGGCCGTGGGTTTGTGGGTCAAAACAATTACGGTTACGCCAACGCCGTGATGGAGCGCATATGTGAGCGCAGACAACGCGATGGTCTGCCCGGTCTGGCCATACAGTACGGCCCCATCGGCGATGTCGGGCTGTGGGCGGCCAACGACAACATCGACCTGACCAGCATAGGTATGGTTATCAACACACAGCGCATACCGTCGTGTCTGGAAGTGATGGATCGGTTCTTGAGCTGCGGCGACGCCGTTGTGTCGACGATTGTGCGCCGGGAGGGCGCCGAACAGTCTGGTAATACTACCATCTTAGCCAATGTTTTGTAATTTTACTAAAACTATACATACCTGTCAACTATAGGTGGTTCGGCTGCCGGTGCAAAGAGCACGGTATGGCACGGCATAGGCATTGACATGTCATCGCTTCCCGACGACCTAACCCTCGGCGACGTCGGTATGGAGTCTATACTAGCGGTGGAAATGCAACAAAGGATTGATAGGGAGTACTCGGTGTCACTGACCACTGATAACATCAAACTCATCACTATTCGCATGATTAAGGACTTCCAGAATAGTTAGTGTTTTGTTCAATCTATCATGTTTATTGTTTTGTGTATATTTACAATGTGATTAATTATTGTTTTTTGCTTTATTATAGGTGATCAAAAAACTGTGTCCGCACAGATCGCCGAATTCAAGAAATCGCTTAAAAAATAGTTTTGGTCTTAATTTCTTACCATGTTTTTTGAGGGTCTTGTAATTTGCAGTGTTTTTTAGGAATAAATAAAAATATTTTAAATATAAATATTCTGTAATTTTATTTATGATTATGGATTTATTAAAAGTTATAAATTATAAAATGGTTATTTTGTGGGAATAATATTTAATTGACTAATGGAGAATTGACTAATCAGACTGACTAATGGAGAAAGGTTGGATGAAATAATAATAAACATGGTAACAATATTTAGTAAACAGGTTTTCACTATCAAAGAAAGCACGTGTTGAAAACGATATGAATTTTTAGCCATTTTATTATATTACACATTAAATTCTCATTAGATTTGGTGTTCAT